CGCCGCGGCGCGCGCCTGGCACGCCGCGGCGGCGGTAGGACGACGGCGACGGCGCCGGCGCCAGCGCCCCCGGCGCGGCGCTGGGCGAGGAGGTGGTGCGCGACCGCCTGCTGCGCGAGCTGACGCAGGAGCACGCCGCGCTGCTGGCCGCCGTGGCGCAGCGCGACGTGTCGGAGGGCGGCGCGGCGGCCGGCGCCACGGCCGGCGCCACACCCAACCCCACCACCCACTCGCGCTCGCTGTTGGAGTGGGTGCTGGAGCGCGACGAGGCCACGGCCTTTGCGCTGATCTCCACCGCGGTACGCGGCATGGGCTGGCCCGACGACAGCGCCTTCCGCTTCAGCCTGCTGTGCCGGTCGCTGGTGCCGCTGGCGCGCGCCTCGCCGGCGCTGGCGCGCTATGTGGGTGGCGAGGTCCTGCCCGCCGCGCTGTCCAGCCTGTCCAGCGAGGCCCTGGCCCTGCATCAGGTGGAGATCCTGGGTCTGATCCGGGACGTGCTGCTGGCGGAGCTGCCCGGGGGCGGGGGCGAGGCCGCCTGGCGTGTCATGGCCAGCCTGCCCGGCGGCGGCGGGGGGCTGGCGGCCTGGCGCGCCGACTTCGCCGCTCTGGGGTCGGAGAAGGCGCAGCGCGACGCCATCAAGAAGCTGCTGGTGGCCAGCTTGGGCCAGGGCTCGCTGGCCGCGCTGGCGGACTGGAGGCCCGCCCCCGCTGGCGCGGGGGGGAGGGCCGGCGGCGGCGCACGCGCGGCTGCGCGCGCCGCCACCCGCGACGCCGCGCGCGCCGACACGCACCTGCAGGGCGAGGCGTATCGGGCTCTGTTTGGGTGAAGGTCATGGGGGGCTGTGGGGCTCGACCCAGGCATGACTGCCCTGCTGTGAGCGTTGCCGGGAAGAGGAGACAAGGGTATGGAGGGACAGGTGTTCTCCGGCCCGAGGAAAGGGGGAAGTGGCGATCCCCCCTGCCCCCCGCGCCCAGTCAGACACGCGCCCACCCAGGGGGGTCGGACGGGCCTCGCCAGGGCCATGGACGCCGTCAAGACGCGGTCATGTCAGCGGGATGGGGTCGATGATTACCTGGGAACTCGTCAGGACCGCCAACTCTTACATCGGGGACGTGCCTACCCTGTCCTCCCTCTGTGGAGCATACGGGCTGGGAAACAGCTCGAGGATCCACGATACCCCACATCATCGAAGCAAGGTCCAGCCTGGTGCTTGTAGCCACAATTAATCAGACCTGTGCCCTTCGCCTCGGCGGGCGTCTGGTTCATTTGAACACATCGGGGGGAGTCATGGCCTGGGAGGGCCCCCTTGCTGGAGCACCGCGCCGCGGACCCCTGTGACGCACTCACCTCGAGCAGTAATGGAGCCTGCACCGGCATTTTTAGGGCCCCAGCATCCCGGCATGGCCTCGATTGGGGGTGCCCCCACGACCCAGCTCCACGGCCAGGACCTTGGGTTCGACAGGGCCTTCGACATCAACGACCCGTGCTTCTCCACCGACCAGTTCAGGATGTACGAGTTCAAGGTATGGTCCTCATGGGATGCTGAAGCGGTGGGGAACTGGGACGCTGAGAGACCTGCATGGAGGCTTTGCACCAGGACCACGCCTCATAGGTCTCCATGTTGAAGAATGGCAAGCAGTCACTCCTCCCATCACGGCATGTTCAACTCAGATCAAGCGCTGCCCTCGTGCACGTCCACACGACTGGACGGGCTGTCCCTTTGCGCACCCAGATACGTTGCAGCTGGGTGGGGTGGAGCGTGTGCTGAGGTTTGGCTGCCATGCACATGTGCCGACTGGAGTGCTAGGGGGTGGATGCCTTGGCTGCAGACAGTGACTCATGTCTTCTGCTTGCCAACCACCCTCAGTGCACGGGAGAAAGCCAAGCGGCGCTGCCCAAAAAGATACCGCTATTCTGGCACGGCTTGCCCCCAGTTCCGACGGGTGAGTGATTCCGGCAGATGGTTGGGCGGGCCAGGACTTGGATGTCGAGCGTCAAGCCTTGCGCCTCCTTGGGGTTGGGGCCTGCACTGGCCCGCCTTAAATCCCTCACCCGGGTCCCTCTCCGCTCCACCCCGACAGGAAGGGTCCTGCGTGCGAGGGGACGCCTGCCCGTACGCCCACGGCATCTTCGAGTGCTGGCTGCACCCCACGCGCTACCGTACCCAGGTACCCTGGGGCCGGGCCTGGGGGGTGGATGCAGCGGCAAACATGAACCCCGGCCCTGCTCTGCACGCGCCTGCCCCTGCTGGCCGCGCGCCGCGCTGCAGGCGCACAGCTGGGATTTTGGAGCATGCTCGTACCCCAAGTTTTGACACCCCCTGATGCGCCAACCCCCACAGATGTGCACCGACGGCCCCCGCTGCCAGCGCCGCGTCTGCTTCTTCGCTCACCTGGAGGGCGAGGTGAGGCTGCCGGAAGGCAACGCGCCGCTGCTGAGCGCGGAGCTCCAGTCCTCGCTGGCCGCGGGTGCGCATTGTTTGGAGGGGGTGCCTTTGCACATCTCATCAGGTTCCCTGGGGGTGTGCGCTGCTCGTGAGTGTGCCTGTCAGGCCGATGCTCCCTGGTGTGCGCCCCGTAATCCAAATCCCATGGTGCCCCTGTCTCCACACCCTGCCCCGCCCACCTTGTCCTTCCTCTCCTGCGCCTGTGCGCAGAGGCACTGGCGCTCCAGAGCGCCCGTCTGACCTCGGAGCTGGACGTTGGCGGCGGCGCCGCGGCGCCCCCGCCCGCCACAGCCCCGCTGGGCTGCCTGCTGGCAGCAGGTGTTGCGGGCAAGCCGCCCCTCCCGCCGGGGTCGCCTCCCGAGGCCTCGGGCTCGCCGCGCATCGGCGTGGGCCCGTACGCTACCACCGCCGACGCCGCCCCCCGCCCGGGGTTCACGCTGGAGGACGCCGCGCGGCTGGCGGGCCTGGTGGGGCCGTCCCCCCGGGACCCCGGCGGCCGGGCCGCACCACCCCACCTCGCTGCGAGCCGCCTGGCGCCAGGCGGCCGCCCGCTGGCCTCCGCGCTGTCGCTGCCCGCCTACCACCCGGGCCCGCTCGCCTCCCAGGCCCAGTCCCTGCAGGCCCCCCACGCCGCGCAGAGCCTGGGCGGCGCTTGCTTCCCCACCGACCCCACCCAGCTCCTGGCGGCGCTGCGCCGCCTCAGCACCGACGCGCTGGGGCTGGACGCGCTGGGGCGCGGCGCGGCGGAGGCCGGCGCGCCGCCGCCCCTCCAGCGCGCCG